TGTGGGTGTTTTTCAAGCTCCTGGTTCTGCCACAATTGATTGGGGTGTTCAGTCATATACTTAACATCTCCTCACATCTGTAAAATAGATGGGTTCTCACCTGTCTCATGATGTGGGGAGAGAAGAGTTGAAGTTTAGATGTTTGTAAAACGTTTTAGAATGAGGGAAAAAGGCACCAAGGAGGAAAATGGGGTTATCATGCAACTATACCCTTACATATAACAATCACATAGAAATTGTATAAGGTCAGTCTATTTATAAGATTTCTTAAGCATTGCTTAAAATTCACAGTGAAATGAACGCAGCAAGTCTTATTTTTCTAATCTACTATCTATACATTCAGACATCAAGTGACAGAAACAGACCTTGAAAATTCTTGGTGCTTCTTGGGCCTTTCAATTTCCTGGCCAATAGCCCTAACAAACACCAACTGCACACTCCTACCTGGCTTTTTGCCGGTGTTGTTTTCTGACCCTTTTTTATATGGACATGGACAGGGGTGTTTTCATCCACATGAACGTGCAAAGGGGGAGATGAGGAGCGGTTCTTCATTGTTCTTCTTCAAACGGGAAAGGGCAATACAATGAAAGGAAACCTGTGAATAAGGAAACTGGAAATAACAACAATTCCTTGCACCCCAGACAAGCTGGACAACTGTCTCTAGTCACTTGTCAGACAGCTACAACTGCTGCAGTGGGTCAAGGTATGCAAGTCACAGTTTGAGCTTCCTTTCAGTGGCACCTACTGTTCTGGATTACATGCAGCCCTGGTGTAAGAATATGAAGAGTAACTCCACTGGTTTCTATTTAATGCATGGACAACCATGGCCATTCATTTGTACTGTGTGGTACAGATAGTGCAACAATAGAGTTGGATTGGTAGAGGATGTCTGCAAGAGTCAGTGGAGTTTGAAGTCTTAGAGCATGCTTACCAACTAGGGGTGCACCAATAGAGATTTTGGGAGCCGATACCAATAGCCAATTTTTAAGAGGCATATCAGCCAATACTGATCTGATTTCCAATACAGCTGCATGCAGCTGGTAAGTCTGCTGTGGTGAAGGGGGGAGGGAAGGGGTCTGGAAGGGTCAGATCAAGACTCCTGCAGTGAGGAAGGAGTAGGACCGGAGCAAACGCTGTCCAGCCAGGGTGGGGCAGGGAGCAGGATGGAGCCGCGGCTCATCTGGGGGTCACAGAGCAGGGGTTGCCACTGCTACATGCACCCCAGGAGGGCACGAGGTGGGGGGCATGTGCCCCAAGGTCTGCACAGGGTGCGGGTGGGGTGGGCTGCACTGCAACTGCAAGCTGGGGCAGTGCCAAGCTCTTCCTGGTGAGGGGGCTGGGCTGGACCAGGCTGCACTCAGGGCGGGTAGTAGCAGCATTGGGAGAGGGTTACAGGGGGAGCAGCAGCCCCCCCAAATTTGCTGTAGCCCCCCACCATAGCCCCCTCTCCCAGTGCCACCGTCCCGAGCACAGCCCCAACCCAACCCCCCGCCATGCACTAAGAGCCTGGTGCCACCCCCGGCCCCAACCCATAGTTGCAGCCCACCCCACCCGTGCCCCGTTCAGACCCAGGGGCAGATGCCCCCCTGCACCCTCCTCATGCCCTCCCAGGGTATGCACAGTGACAGAAGCTGCCACCATCCCCAGACAGGCCTCGGCTCTGTCCCATGCCCTGTCCCGCCCTGGCTGGGCAGCACTTGCCCAATCCCGTGCTCCCTCCCTCCTGCACCGCAGGGGCCTTGATCTGCACCCCCATTCCCCTTCCACCACACCAGACTTACCATCTGCACACAGCTCTCCAAGCTGCTGGGCTGCCCTCCTCACCGCCTACATGCTGTGCTGCAGCTGCACACATGCAAGGGCATTTCTGATACACTCAATTTTCTTTATATCAGTGCTGATCTGATATTGGACTGATATATCTGTGCGCCTCTACTACAAACCAACCACTCTGGTTAATACCACCACTTGATTTTTTGAGCAGAGAGTTCAGAACTAGCCTATTAATTTACCAACCTAAAGAATTTAGGGATATAAAGAAAAGCTCACTAAGTCCCTAATCCTGCAAACTTTAACATATGCACTTAACTTGAAGTCAATAGAACAATTCACAATTCATGACGTTAAGCACATAGGAAGTTTGCAGAATTACAGCTTCAGTTTGTCTCTTCAGACTTCTACTATAAAGTAAAGACACATTTCTGGATTAAATATGGATCCAACACAAAAGAGCAAGACATGGAAACACAGATTTAAATTAATTAACCTTTGTGGTAATTTCTTACTTTATAAAAGTGTGCCTTCAAAACCAAAGCAGTAGCACAAATAGTTCAAGTATGGCATAGAAGAGGTTTATATCCTCCCAGCCCAAATTACTTACAGTTACTATGAAGTTTTCAGCTCCTGGTGACACTTTTCTTTGTGTTGAGACTGAAATTATCTCGTTTTTGCTGGATGAGGGATACCTGACAGTAGATTTAGGAAGTGGGTTACTAACGGAAAAGTGTCTGATTAGAAGACAGCCCATAAGCCGAAGCACGTTAAAGCCATTATGTCTAAGCATCCTTCGAAAAACAAACAGCAAAATTTAAGAGATTAAAATAAACAGCATGATCTTCAGGAACAAGCCTCTAATATTAAGCTATGCTGTATGTGATTTACCCTACAATACAGAATAAGATTCCCAACTCTGGAGAGTGGATTTTTCCATCCCATTAAGCAAGTTACAGCCATACTTCCACAAACTGTTGTATGAAGTAATTGGTACAGGTTATGCTTTTTGGCTGTTACTGATGATTTTGGTGATGGTGATGATTTTGGTGATTAATACATTAATTTTGTATTACCATGTTCAGTAATTAGTTTGAAGCTCAAGACAAGGTCTGTCTTGACCATCTTATTACCCAAGTAGGTACATTTTGTTCATTTTCTTCATGTCATTAAGGAAAGCCTGGAATTCAATGACAAACTGAAGCAGACAGCTGTCAACTGAAGCAGTTTTGCAAAGCTAGAGACAAGGCAATTTAATTCTTCCTGTTTGGGCAGTAAGCGTAACTCATTAAGTTTAAGTTACTTGCTACAAAAAAAGTAGCAAATTTACCACTGAACCATCCACAAGGTACAATGCCTTTTGGGGGCACTGAATCAGATTTTTGTAGCACACTTATGCTAAGTGAGGTTGTTCTCTACATTTTTTCTAGCTAATTATTTGACTTGACAGTTGTTCTCAGAACTTGCATAACAACCTTCTGCCTCGTGGGGCTGACAGGCAACCGCTCCCTCCCCCCAGGCCTGTGTGTACGCACACACGCCCACACCTCCCCCAAACCAGAATCTTTTCAAGTATTTTTCAGTTTGTATTTTATTCAGCACAACGGAAGCCTAAAAGAATTTCACAGAAATAAAGTAAAACTCGGGGATAGTTGTTAACACAGCAGGCAAAAAACAGCGTTGGTCGTGCAACCTCTCTGTCCCATGCTGCCACTTGAAGCAAATCACTGTTACGAATATTTCAACTCTCCTTCTAACGAGGCTTCGGTTTTTCAGACTTAATCATGAGGTTGGTATTAAAAAAAGGGGAAGAAACATCTCGCCAAACAAGAGTCTCTCAGGGAGACAGAGGGGAGAAAAAAAAAAAAAGCAAACCCACAAAACAGGTTTGGCCAAATCAGAGGAAAACAGCAACTTTGCCAGGGTGAGAGGATTTCACGGGCTGCAAAAGGGGCCTCACAGCTTCACTTGGCGAGCAAGTGACCGCTGGGCTCCTCTGCTTTTCTTTTTTTTTTTTTTTTTTTTTTTTTGGGGGGGGGGGGGAAGGGAACCCCGTTAGGAGGCAAGAAGCCTTCGTGGGCTGGGGAGACCTTGGGGAGACTTTAGGAGGAGCAGAAAGGGAGCAGGGCGATGCAGCCCCGACTCGCACTCCCGCCGCAAGCCGCCTGCCCGGACATGCGAGCGCGGCCCGCGCCGCCCCGCT